TTAGTACGCACTATAGTACTCACGTTGCCTGAGCTTTCGCTTTACCAGCACCTCGCCCACGCTTTGCCGGCGTGGCTTCCTTAATTTGCAGCGGATGTTCTGTATTTTCCTCCGAAACACCATGATCGCTACAGGCAAATCAGTTAGGAAATGGAATCAAAATAAGTTTGGGGATTCGTGGATTAAAATCAACAAACCAGAGATAACCGAATGAATATTTTTCGATCTCGAGGAGTCTTACACATGTCTTAATGAAAAAAGTCAAGAACTAATCTTGTTTTCTTAGCAGTTATAAAGCCTCTGAACGGTAAAAACTCATCAAGATTGATTATCCGATTATAACGTCCTTGAAAGAAAGCCGACACTGAGTTATTAAGAAACTGAAGGAATTAATCTAATCTGAGATTTCTGAAGTGGTTCCTCGGAGGCAACAGAAGTGCACTTACGTAGCAAGAGCTTTAGCTTTGCCAGCAGGTCTACCACGCTTTGCTGGCGTAGCTTTCTTCGATTGGGCAGATTCTTCCCCGCTTTGTCCATCAACGGTAGCATCGCTGTTCAATAAGAGGCATAGAGTGGATTCAGATTTTGAAAAAACTTCTAATAGAAAAATGATTCGCAGCAGATACGTTTCGATTATGTTACAGGCATCGTGATACTACTGCTAAAATATCACTGAAACGCGCTGGCAGCGCTAATTGATCACTAATGGAATAAGAAGTCCCAAAAAAGTGACTGCTTACGTGACAAAATCTGTAATGTTCGCTTTCGCCTTCGCTCCGGGTCTACCACGTTTCGCGGGAGTGGCGTCTTTCACGGGCTGCGGCTCGGCATCAATAGAATCGCTAAAAACACGATAAATATTCATCAATAGAATGCAGAAACCCCTTTCAGAAGTTCCAGAGACACTAGAATAAATAATTTATAATAGGGCGAAAGATGGGATATACGCCATTCTAGACCTGTTTACATCCAATTAATTAGATTAGAGTTCAGTGCTCCCCAAACTTTCTGGGCCCACGGACTGGAAAATTGCCTTAAAATTGCTTGCGGACCGGCAAATTTCCCAAAAATTTTCTTCAGGCTAGCAAAGTTTTGACACATTTTTGCAGAAGGCATTTAAAAAGTTTCAGCTTTATAAATGCCAAAAATTAAGATCCAATTAAGCAGGTATATAGTGGAATGTTTTAAAAAAATTAGAAAGGCAGGCTTGAGGAAAGGTTTCTCGAACTGAAATAATTAAAATGGTGTATTTCAGCATGTGAATATTTTCCTGAAGTGTAATCAAGAGAAAAGCAGACTCATGTTTTTCCAAGGCTTCAGATGAAGATAACAGACTTCATCGCTACTTTTCTCAATTTATCATGCTCCAGAAGATTTCTAATCCAGTGGTTCCCAACCCGCGGACTGGTCCGCGGGTTGGGAACCACTGGATTAGACAGATGCTAATCTAAGGAAAGCTCTGAAACTCACGCTTTTTGCTCCGCCGTATTTTCGACAATTTTCCGAGCAGCTTTCCCTCGTTTCGCAGGGGTCGAGGTCTTGTCGGCAACATCTGTTTTTAATGCAGCAGCTCCTCTTCGAGATTTCTGCGAAGAAACTTCGCCC